CCCCCCATAAGTGGCTCAATCCAGGGCCGCCTGGCCAGATGTTCCTCACTGCTGCATCCCGCGGCTCTAAGGGTTTCCCTGCCTTTGTGCCTAATCCCATTGCATAAGCGGCTGGGATTTTCTCTGAGCCCTTTATCCGGAGCCGGGATGGGAGGGTGGCAGAGGCACTGTCCCCTGCCACTGCCCCTCTGGTTAGATCCATGCCCTGACTCTTTTCAAGTAGATCCCTCCCAGCAGGCTGCCATAAATCCCTAGCTGGAGTCAGGGCTGCCCCGATGTCTGTGCTCTGTGCTGCAGGGGGTGGGGTGGGAGGCTCTGTCCTGGCAGTCAGGACTGCCCCTGATGTCCCAGCACAGCTCAAGGGGGCGCTGTGCTGCAGGGGGTGGGGTGGGGGGCTCTCCCCTGGCAGCTGGCTGGCCCTGGTGCCCCCCATGTGGTGCTAACGTTAAGACCCTGGATTCAGACATCTCGGTTCATTATTCAGTTCTGCCACAGGCTGCTTTTGTGACCTTAGGAGAGTCACTGCATCTCTTGGGGCCATAGTTTGCCTGTCAGTACGATGAGCACCGTAATCATCCCTTTCTATGGAGATTGTGACATCTAGGGCCAGGGATTGGCTCTGGGCAGTGCCTGGCACAACAGGGCCCCGATCTCAGCTGGGGCAGGGCCTGTCTCTCGCTGTGTCTCGGCAGTGCCAAAACAAGGCCCTGCTCTCAGCTGGGGCAGGGTCTGTCTCTCGCTGTGTCTGGGCAGCGCCCAGCACGACGGGGCCCTGATCTCAGCTGGGGCAGGGTCTGTCTCTGGCTGTGTCTGGGCAGCGCCCGGCCCAACGGGGCCCTGATCTCAGCTGGGGCAGGGTCTGTCTCTCGCTGTGTCTGGGCAGCACCCAGCACGACGGGGCCCTGATCTCAGCTGGGGCAGGGTCTGTGTCTCGCTGTGTCTGGGCAAGGTCCGGCACGACGGAGCCCTGATCTCAGCTGTGGCAGGGCCTGTCTCTCGCTGTGTCTGGGCAGCGCCCGGCACGACGGGGCCCTGATCTCAGCTGGGGCAGGGTCTGTCTCTCGCTGTGTCTGGGCAAGGTCCGGCCCACTGGCATCTCATCTGCAGCCTCCAACTGCTCCCAGAACCCAAGTCCCCAGGATGCCGATGCCCCAGCCGGGTCACCCCACTGCAGCTTCACACGGGCGCTACAGGGCTGGCGGCTAGCATTGGACTTTCCCAACCGGCTGAGAGGTCTGAGGCTAGGCCCCGCGTTGCCGTCTCTGCATCCCGCGTCCCCGCCACTGCTCCACACGCCCTGGCTAGTGTCCTCAGCCTCGCTTCCCGCTGACGTCAGCTCCTAAGTGGATCACATGCAGCCTGAGAGCCGAGGGCTGATGCCACGCAGGGTGACCTTGCTGAAGGGGCTCTTCCTCCCCCTCATAGCCACATTGGCCACTGGGGGGCAGCCTTGGGTTGCCATTTGAATCAGCTCACCTGGCCTAGATTTGAAGAGGAAAATAATAGGACAGCCGGGTTGTGGACTGGTCTAGTGGTTAGAACAGGGAAGCTGGGCACCACGACTCCTGGGTTCTAGTCCCACTTGTGGGAAGGGAGTGGGGTCTAGTGGTTAGAGCAGGAGGGCTTTGCTAACCCCAGCCTGTGTTCTCCCTCCCGGAGAAGGCGCCGGTGTTAGGGGGAAGGTCCAGCCATGCTGGGTTACTCAGGAGTTTCACACACAGGAGGAACTGCTGCTACTTCCCCTTCTAAGGGAAAGTAAATGGATGTTGCAGGCAGTGAAAGCAAGTGCCGGTGGGTAAGGAGGATGGGGTTGTGGGGAATGGATGTGTGGGGAGCAGCAGATGGGGTTTTTAGAGATCTAGCTTATAAGCCCCACTATCACTCCCATCCTCCAGAAGCCCTTTGCCTTCTGTGACTCAGTTTCCCTTCTATCATACATGGGTAATAGATCTGAGCTATGGTGGTTTACCCCACTCCTGACTCCCCTTCTCTATCACCTCAACCACCAGCTACTTGTCTTCTCTTCCAAGGCTGTTCCTGGCCTGTTGTGTGCCCCCTACCCTCAGGGAGCTGTCACCCCCCTTCTCTGCTGCCAGCCTTCATCACCTACTAGTTACATTTTTCAAACCAGACCCCACTGTAAGCCCCAGGCCAGCCCCAGAGCCACATTATCCAGGTGCATAGGTTGCCATACCCACAATGAGTCACTCCTGGGTCACTGTTGCTTTGTAGCAGCTGTAGTTTCCTTATATAGTTAGATTATAGGATTGCGTTTTTGTGCTGAGCGGATCAGTAACTGTTTCCTATCTTTTAACCCCCACCTAGGAATAAATGGTCAGTTTTCACCATCACAGGAAATAAATAGTGGTGAACGCTGGGGATCTGTACGGGGACCAGTGCTGTTCAACGTATTCCCAGCTGACTGGGAAAAGGGGTAAAGACCAAGGTGGCAAAGTTTGCAAGCAATACAGTTAATCGGGCTAGGGAAGTCCAAAATTGCTGATTAAGAGCTACAAAGAGACATCACTGCACTAGGTAACACTAGGGTAAGTATCAGAGTAGCAGCCGTGTTAGTCTGAATCCACCAAAAGAACAGAAGTATTTGTGGCACCTTAGAGACTAACAAATTGATTAGAGCATAAGCTTTCGTGGGCTACAACCCACTTCTTCGGGGACACACACACACCCCAACTCTGAGGCTAATTAAGTATCACTTCAAAAGTTTTTTTTCTCTTACTTAATTAGCCTCAGAGTTGGTAAGACAACTCCTACCTGTTCATGCTCTCTCTCTCTCTGTGTGTCTGTGTCTGTGTGTATATTTATCTCCTCAATATATGTTTCACTCTATATACATCCGAAGAAGTGGGTTGTAGCCCACGAAAGCTTATGCTCTAATAAATTTGTTAGTCTCTAAGGTACCAGGGTAAGTGAAATTCAACCTTGATAAAGGCAAAGGAATGCACAGGGGAAAACATTCCCCACGCTGCCTACAAAATGGAGTCTCACTTGCTGTCACTGCTCATGAAAGGTCAGGTAGGCATTGGGGATGGTCCCCTGATGGCAGCAGCTGTCAGAAAGCTAACAAGTGTTAGGAACCCTTAGGAAAGGAAGAGACAGTAAGACAGAAAATATACCACCACTATAAATCCATGGTACCTTGAATACTTGGGGCAGTTCTGTGCCCCACCTCAAAACAAAAAATTAGAAGTGGAAAAAGCTGCAGAGAAGGGCAACAAAAATGATCCGAGATATGGAACAGCTTGTGGGTGCAGAGATTGAAAACACTTGGACTGTTCAGCTTAGAAACAAGGTGACTGAGGGGGAATATGACAATCTATGAAATCATGAACAGTGTGGAGAAGAGTTATGGGCGGGGACAACACTAAGAACTTGCGGTCACTATGAAGAGAGCAGGCAGCAGGTGTAAGATAAGCGTAAATACTTCCTTCACCCACCAGTCAGCCAGCCTGGGGAACTCACTGCCAGGGGATGCTGGGAAGGCCAAAATTATAACTGGGTTCAAAAGAGAACTAGTTAAGTTCAGAGGATAGGGCCATCGATGGCTCTTAGCCAAGATGGTCCAGGACAAAACCTCATGCTCTACGTGTCCCTAAAGCTCATGGCCAGCAGCCAGGACTGGACAGGGAATGGATCACACTGGAACGGCCTTGTTCTGTTCATTCTGCTCCTGGCCCTTGGCAGAGAACAGGATACTGGGCTGGATGGACCGCATGGTCATACTGGGTATTGAAGTGCCTACTACAGTGAGGGCTGCTAGAGTAGAATTACTCTGCAGCAGCCAAGAAAGGCAGAGATATCAAGACTCTAGGGTTGCACGTCTGGGCCGCTGTTTTCAAAAGGTGCTGCAGGCTGTGATCCAGGGGGCACAGGCTGGCTATTGGCCCTTTTACACTTTGGTAACAGCGCTTCGGCTACACCCGACACTACAGTTTAGAAGCAGGGGGTGTTTTCTGGGCAAGCACTGGCATTTCAGCATGTGGGTGCCCCAGCCTCTGGAGGGGACATGCTAGGAAAGCACACACCAAGCGCAAGGGGCCCAGCTGCTGTCAAGGCCCAGCATCCTGCTTTGGGCAAGAACGGCCCTTTGCCAAGATGGTGACATGCCAAGCTAGACATAATGGAGACCTTTATGGAGAATCTGCAACAGCTCATGGACTGTTGCCGAGCAACGAGACAAGGCCCTGAATGGCTCCATTCAGAGATCAGGTGTGGACAAGCCCCTGCCCTGGCTGGGGAGGTAGGGACTGCCGGCCTCCAGGCTCTAGCAGGAGGTCATTATGAAGCACCTGAAGGCTGCACTATCAGCAGTGCTTTAATTTCTCCACCCCACCATGGTAGGACACCCTTGGCCCTAGCCACCAAGATCTGGTCCAACCCCTTGCACAGAGAAAAGACCAGACAGCAGCTGTCAATACAGACCCCAATCCCGTGGACCATTGGTTGTCTACAGGCAGGTGACAAACATTCAGCAGAGAAACAAGCAATTAGAGAGGTTGCCCCCCATGAAAAACCTGCAGCTATGTGGTTTGCAGATCAAGACCCTGCTAGAGCCTCTTCAGGACCTACTTTGTGCTTAAGGCCCCGTCTAGGCCCTGCCTCAGTTTCCCCTCATGTATTTAGGCTTGGCTCTTTGGGGCAGGTATCATGTGTGCAGCACCTGGCACTACTGCACTGTTTGAGATGAGGTGCTACTGCACCACGTTTGCAGTCCTTGAGGACTACACAAATAGTCTAGCTCTGAAGCCATGATCGCATTTGGGCCCAGGCTTCAAAAGCAGGTGGGAATAAAGGATCTGGACAATTTCACCCACATTTCCGCAACTTTAAGTGGCTTTTATTTCCAACACTTATGAAATCTCAATGACACTACCGCCACAGACCACTACTAACCCAGGGCTAGACTCCTTCCCCCGGGGGAGGCGTTGGTGCAGTTTTCTGGTTAGGCGCACGCAGGCCACTGTGAGAGCAGGATTCACACACGGACACGCACGAAGGTTTACGGGGACAGACGAGGCGCAGCGTTTGGGGCCGTGTGGTTGAAGCATTAAGATAGGATGGATCTCGTGGCCAAATATGTCTAGAGGGGGGTGAGGCGGATTCTTCAGATGGCCTGGAATGTATGTGGGACAGGCGCTCAGTTCTCCTTGGTGTACATGTGACTCAGGAGGTCTGCAACGCGGTTACTGTAGCCATATTCGTTGTCATACCTACGGGAAGAGAAGAGGGACAAGTTCAGCTCTCAGCCACCTCACACACCAAGTGGACAACCCTGACCACAAAGGAGACCCTCCCAACTGGATGTTCCCACACGACCTCTAGGGGGCTCCTGGTTTCCCATCCCTATTGCCTCAGCCACATGCCACTGCCTATAGGCCTCTGGACCAATCGAGGATGGTTGGAAGGTGGCAGAGGTAGTAGAGGACCTTGTGCTTAAGGCACTGACTGGGACTCAGGAGATCTGGGTTTGTTCCTCAGTCTTCCTGTGTGATCTCTGGCAGATCCCCTGTTCTCCACCTGGAGCTTAGCTCCAGGGCCAGTGACCTCACTAGATCTGGACTGGAACCCTCAGATTTAGCCAGTCGTTCACCCAAAGGTCTTCAGCTGGGTTACAGGGGCCCTTTGTGCATGGGACTAGGCTAAGGTGCTCCAAGCATACTCTACGGCTAGGGGGAACCCAGATGCCTCATGCCAGGCAAGTGAGATGCAGTTGATGGAACCTGCTGGTTCTTGACCCACTCTGGAGAGTGGTCACTGGACTCCTAGAAGGCTGGGGTGGAGGAATCCAGCATGCTCAAGAGAGGCTGGTTTTCAGGCCCCTTCCTCTGCTTAGGACCAAGTGCAGCCAGGCCTTCCTCTGCCAGGCCTTACCAGGAGATGAGCTTCACAAAGTTATCATTGAGGGAGATCCCAGCTCCAGCGTCGAAGATGGAGGAATGGCTGTCGCCGATGAAATCAGAAGAGACCACCTGCAAGTGAGGGGGGGCATGCATCAGGATTGGCTACTGGGGGCATTTGGCTTTAGTTAGAGAGATGCAGGAGCAGGGGGAGGAATGTGTATGGGCCAGTTCAATAGGAGGCCTGCCTCCCTTGGCCAGAGGTCCCCAGAAGCAGCTTTGATTGCACCATAGGCTACACATCAAGATTTAATAGGGCTGAAGGCTGAGACTATTAGATTAGTCTTACCATTGGTCTAGCACAGGCCACAGAATGTCACTGTTACCCCCATACTCAACCCAAGGACTTCAGACAGACTACAGCATTTCAGTCCTCAGGAGACTCAACTGTTACATGCCACCAGCAGAGAATAGGAGAGACTGAGATGCCACCAATGCCTGAGGTCCCATCCATGGCAGGGAATTGGGTTGACAAGACCTGCCCAGATGATCTATGCCCCATGCTGGGGAGGAAGGTGAAAAATGTAAGTCCCTGCCAATTTGATGGAGTTGGGGAAGGGGAAGATTCCTTCCTGACCCCAAATGCAATCATCAGTTTGACCCCAAGCATGTGATGATGCCAGGCAGGCATTCAAAAGGGATTCTCTGGCCCCAGCTGATGTTTCAGAGGAAATGAGAAGGCCCAGATTACATCCAAAAATTCCTTCTTGATCCCTTCATGCAACCAGCTAAAGCACTGAATGGCCAGTCCCCAGAAGGCCTAGAAGAATCAGTAGCAACACACCAGGCCAATGCGTACCAGCGTGCTGCCCCCGTGAGCAGGCCCTATACAGCTCTGTGGATACAGAGCTGGTGTTTGTTATGTGCTCCCCTCCACTTGGGCCCAACCTGAAGCAACGCTTGATGTCATCTGCGTCCAGCGTTTTCCCTACCAAGGAGGTTCTGCCAGCACTGCTAACATCACACTGCTTCATTAGCATGGTTCATCTTCAGTGCCCTTCAGACTAGGCAACTGGCTGATGTGCTGCATGTGGGCACCAGTTGAGAGAGGAAGTGAACCTGTACTGAGATTTGCAGAGGGAGGGTAACGAGCTCAGCAAGCAGGAGTCTGGCTAGGGTATTGGGGTCACCCCCACCCCTGTTCAGGTCTCACCAAGGGTTAGTTACTCCAAGCAGCCAGGGTCTGTTGCACCTAATCACAGACCACCTTCAGGGGAAGGATGCTCAGTGATTAGAGGGATTGGCCTGGCTTCAACTCCCAGCTGGGCCAGACACCATGTGCCTCAGTTTCCCCATCTGTAAGATGGACAAAAGCTCTTTCATACTTCAGGGGTGTTGCAAGGAGAAATGTGTGGAAGATGGTGAGGTGCCCAGACACTATGGAGATGGGCCCGATAGGTCCTTCTGCTTCGGTAACACTCCGCACAGCACTGCTCTGGTGTATCCATCAGCACTAACTCACTCCCACTTCTGGCATCAGAGCACCCCCTAGCAAGGCCTGGGGGTCAGCATGGGTAACAGCTCAGATCTCAGCATGTCACCCATGCTGCTTTGGCCTCCCCACCCTGAGCCCAACCTTGCTGCCAGCACTCAAGATGGCCGCTCCCATTCCCTGCTCACCTCATCTTCTGTGTACCCCAGGATCCCAGCCATGGGGCCCTCGGAAGCCTTCTTCATGGCCTCTTTGATTTCAGCATAGGTCGCCGGCTTGGCAAGGCGGCAGGTTAGGTCCACGACGGAGACGTCAGAGACAGGCACACGGAACGCCATGCCGGTGAGCTTCCTGTGAGGAAGGAAGTTCAGCCAATGAGAGAGCCAGGTAGGACAGCCTGTGAGCAAGACTGATGCTCTAGAAGACCAGTCTGTGGTTCTGGCATTGGACCCCCAAAGGGAGACCCCCAGACCCTCCCAACAGAGATGTGGTGTTTTGGGTTTTGCTTAGCGAACACTGCTAGCTTGTCAGACACCATGAATGGTACAAGCTTCTACACAGATGTAGTTTGCCTATCCCCATGGCCACCTCTAGGAGCCAGAGTTTCTCTCCCAGCCACCATCCGGCCTGTGGGATGTCACCCAGCCACCTGGGGCAGGATTGCTACTGGGAGGCCTAGGCCAGAGACCTCTCCTGCTGCCTGCTCATTGAGACATGGCCCGTACCCGTTCAGCTCTGGGATGACCTTGCCAACTGCTTTGGCAGCACCAGTGGATGCTGGGATGATGTTCTGGTGGGCGCCCCTTCCGTCGCGCCAGGCCTTGGCAGAGGGTCCATCCACAGTTTTCTGTGTGGCAGTGTAGGCATGCACCGTGGTCTGAAGGTCGAGAGGAGAAGCATGGTTATGAGGTGGTAGAAGCTAGAGAGACAGTCACCTGTTCCTGCACACAGGCAAGCTGCTGGGGGTTGACAGCACACAGGAGACTTACCATGAGTCCTTCCACAATGCCGAAGTTGTCATGGATCACCTTGGCTAGAGGTGCCAGGCAGTTGGTGGTGCAGGAGGCATTGCTACATGGGGAGGGAAGGGAGACAGACTGATGTCTAGGAAACACCTGCTACTGGAGGAGTGCCAGTAGCCTGCCTAGCCGAGTTCCCATTCCCATCACCACCTCCATTTCTCCCTGGTGTAGGGGAGACGATAGAAACCATGCTAATTAGGATAGTCTTCGCTCACATGTCAAGGTGGAAGCCCACCTGCCCTCCTCTTGAGGGGACAATCTTCCAGCACAAGCTGTCTATAGGCCTCTTGCTTCCCAACTGTATGGCACAAGTGGCTAAATTCTTGTCTCAGGCCCTTTCCTCAGGCACATGTCCCCAAAATGGAGGCTCTCAAACATCCCTCTGATTCTGAATGGCAGATCCATACCCTCATCTCTCCTTGGCCACGTACAAGACAGACTCAGGAGATCACTCCAAGCCAGTCTGGGGAGCAACTCAGAAAGCCGTCCCATCCCATTGTCCACTGTGGGGAGGCAGGTCTTACCTGACGATTGTCATGCTGGATGGGTCATACTTGTCCTCATTGACACCCATGACGAACATGGGAGCATCGGGAGAGGGGGCGCTCACCACCACTCGCTTGGCTCCACCTTGTATATGGGACTGTGGAAGAGGAGGCTAATCACGGAGGATCCTGCTATGCAGAAGGCCAGGCCAACATCATCTGAGGAGTTAGGCACTAGCAGACCTAGGTGTTGATGGATGACTCCATCATACCAAGGTCTTGGATGAAGGCTGCCCAGGAGAATGGCATCCCAGCCCTGTAGTGGCTCAGCTTGTTAGCCACAGGTTCTCATTGAATTCCCAGTCAAGGATGACCAGCAGGTGACTGAGCCCCACATGCCAGTCAGATATGGGCCCTGCAGCTCCTGTACCAAGCTAGGTAGCTCAGACACTCACCGAAGCTTTGTCAATGCTGAGGAAGACTCCGGTGGACTCGACAACGTAGAGAGCTCCTGCGTCACCCCAGGGAATCTCACTGGGCTTCATGCTGTAACAAACAGCAGACCAGGGTTACTGCCCCCAAGGGCCGGCTACTTCCAGGTCAATGCACATGTTCAAGCCCAGATGAGGGCTGAGTCCCAATTCCATACAGCTTGAGGGAGTGGTGTGGAACCCCAGCCTCCAAGGACCCCGATACACCAGCCCCTTGGCACCCAACTCTTCCTTTGACAATCTGTCATTTCTAGGGTGACCTAGAGATACAGCTGAGTGGAGACACATCAGCAATCTGGAGGAAGGCTGGTCTTCTGGTTTCAAGGCACTGGACAGAGACTCGAGATCTAGGTTCAACTCCCAGCTCCCCCAGACTCCCTGAGCAGCCAGGCACTAGATCTGTGACTCAGTACAGATTTACAGGTTGGGTGGAAACTATTTGCCCTTGCTCACAGGGGGCTGGGAAAAAAGCCCATTAGTACTTGGGAGGCAGACACCACAATGATGGGCTGCACACAAGTACCTAGAGATCACTGCATACATCTGTCAGGTCCACTCACCATCCCTTCATTCGCACTACCATGATCCTTCAGAGGTCCAGACCCCTGGCTCTTACCCGCTAGATGCTAGGCTCATCTCCTAAATTGTGCTGGATTCTCAGAAGGCACTTCTCATCTCCAGAGAATTTCACCCTGTACTGAGACCAATCACTTCTGATTTGGCATGAAGCCAGACTGACATTTCCAGCTAGCCATGCTCTCAGCTCAACCCGACGGGCTTCAGAGTCAGGGGAGGTGTCTCCTTTACACTACAGATTCACGTCTTGAAGTGAAGCAGGCAGGTCTAGTGATGCAGGAGGCAAACTAGGACATCTGGGCTCTGCTAGACTGGCACGAGTCTCAAGTAGCTGGACATGCTATATGGGAAAGCGGTTATTTCTCTAGACACTGCTGACGGATGCGGTGTCCAGGAGTTGCTGTCTGTACACTGCAATGCTACCACCTCTGAAGTGGCACATGGCAGCTGATTTAATGCCAATGCTAGCTTCCTGTCCTAGACTATGTACAGGAAGTTTACTACAGCCAGCTGAAACTGTGGGAAGGAGTTTTAGCCTAACAGTCAGAACGCTGGAGTGATGCCACCATGGTGCAGAAAGGCTGTCAGGAAGCAATGCTCAGTGCCTCAGTTTCCCCAGCTAGCCAACAGAAGATAGCCCTCCAGCAATTTGGCAACCATTAGCACTGATCCACTGTTGAAGGACCATCCCATCCTGCAGCACCATCCACTTGGCTCAGAGGTCTCCCCTCCCAGTGCTGAGCAGACTGGCCCCTGCTTAGCTGGCAAGATCCAGAGCACAAGGTGATGAGGTGCCAGGCTGCACCCTGTGCTACACAAGAATGGCCAGACTGGGTCAGACCAAAGGTCCATCTAGGCCAGTATCCTGTCTGCTGACAGTGGTCGGTGCCAGATGCCTCAGAGGGAATGAGCAGAACAGGTAATCAAGTGATCCATCCTGGTGAACAGAGGTTAGGGACACCATCCCCGCCCATGCTGGCTAACAGCCATTGATGGGTCATGGAGGATAGGTCCATTCAGCTCCCCCTACTCACCACTGGAACACCGAGATCTCACTGCCGTCCACCACCAGCTTGCCATCTTCAGCCTTCACCTCGCCGCTGTAGCGCCCGTGAGTGGAGTCATACTTGAACATGTACACCTGAGAGGGGAGAGCGCGTCAGCCTAGCAGCCCAAGCCTTTGTGGAGTTACCCTAGGCAACTGCTGTCATTCAGCAGGGGAATCTCCCTAACTGATCAACTCCGCTTCCAGCAACTGCAAAAGGTTAAGCAGGTGACCAGTTCTCTTCAAGATGGGGACTGATCAGCAGCAAACCTCTGGCTGTGCGGTAGAGCAGTGAGCATTAAGACTATCCTCCAAGTAGATCCAGAGGAGGACACTGAACGAGGGGGCATCAGCACAGAGGGCAGAAGAGCCGAGCTCCCTGAAAGCTAAGGGGTATGGGGCCTTTAGAGTCCTAGCACTGAGCAATCAAACCCAACAGTGACTGCAGGATGGGTCCTAGACAAAAGGAAAGTTAGCCATGGCTGTGTGACCATGTGCACCCCATATTCACTATATGGGGATATAAATATGGCATGTTGTGTACAAAGTCTGCCTTGTGAGGCATCAGTTTAAAAGGCTGGATCTGTTGAACATTAATACCCTGTTGGATTGGCTGTGCTGTCATTGTATGGGGAGCTAGGAAGCTTTGCTCTGTTGTGAAGTTGGAAGCACCCACACACAGGCTTTCAGGGACAACAATGAAGAAGCTAGACAGTGCTAATGGCCCCATTAAGGGAATCCACACGCCCAGGGACTCTCAGGAATTGTTTACGACCAGAGGCTTCCCAGAGGGAGCACGTAGGCAATGGAGGATGCTGGGGGCGGGGGAAGGAGGGGCACAGACCCTCACATCATGAGCAAAGATCTTTCTAGCAAACTGGAAGAAGCTATAAAAGAGACGAAGTGACATCACCACTTTGCCTGGCTTCCCCTACAACACAACACAACACCTGAAAACACCCGAGGAACAAAGACTGAACTGGGGAAAGGGATCCCAAGCAGGACAGAAGAATTCCAGCCTGTGTATGCAAAAGCTGTAACCTGCTTTACTAGCTAACAGGGCGAGACACTCCTTGATTCAAATCCTATCTAGTTTATAAAGCTTAGATGGCGTTTTTGTTTTATTTCATAGGTAATCTGCTTTGATCCGTACGCTCACTAAAATCATTTAAAATCTTTCTGTAGTTAATAAATGTTTTTTACCTAGCAAAACACACAGTTTTAGAAGTGTTTGGGGAATCTGCTCAGGAACAAAAAATGGTGCATTGTCCTCTCCACGTTGAGAGGGGGCAGACTGGGTAATAAACTTCTACCCGTCAGGCTTCTGACTAGGCCAAGACAGTACAGCTCTGGGGTCCTAGGCTGTGGAGCTGGGGGACGCTGGGTGGAGCCTCTATTGTTAGTTCATGAGAGGCTGAGGAGAAGCATTCATGTAACTGCATCTGGGTGAGTCCCTACCTGTGTAGGTGTCTGTGTCAGTGCAAGACTGGGAAAGATCTGCAGCTTGGTACAGTCTCAGTGTGAGAGGGGACCCAGACTGGTATGTCAGAGGGCTCAGCGGTACCCCAGTTCCAGGCTGCACTCAAGGGAAGCCAGTCACAGGCTGAACAAGGCCCCCAGGTCCGCAGCTCCCATCACACACTGATGTGCCAGCTGGCCCATCCCACCCATGCCGCAATCACTATCTACATAGGGTTGAGGTTGGAGATTCTCAGTGTCCCTGGACAACTAACTGGGAGTCTGAGCTTCTGAGACATGCAGAAGAGTGTCATAGGCAGGATAGTTTGGCCATTGGATTGAGGGGTGGTGAAGTTACCATGTAGTTGAGGTCAATGAAGGGGTCATTGATGGCCACCACTTTGAGTCCCTTCTCCAGGCAGGCTCGGAGGACCAGACGCCCGATACGGCCAAATCTGGAACAGGAATGTTAGTAGTTAGATCAATTCCTGTAGCCATAGTCCCCATCCAGGGAGCTAGTCATGAAGGGACGTCTCTTCCATGCTGGCTTTTGAGCTTCCTTAGCCATTAAGAGCCCCCCCCCCCACATACTCACAGTGCAGCCAATGGGAGCTCAGTCAGCAGGGCTTCCCCACGACTGTCCAATCACTAGGACATTAAGCTACCCCCTTAGCTTTGCATTCTAGTGGTGTCCCCTAGCTCTGATCTGGTAGTAGCACGAGCCAGCCGCCCTAACCACCTTGGAACAAGTTGCTCCATGAACTCCCCCTGACATCAATCCGGCAGCTGCAGAGGAGTTAAATGCTTCAAGATGACAGCCTGGTGACCCCTGAAGTCACCTCTGACTAAAAGCAAGAACTGCATCTTTGGGCTCAGTCATTCATTCAACACCACTACTGCTATGAGTAAGCCGGGCTCTTCCTTGAAATTAAGATGGCTGCCAGTAAGTGTGGTTCTGGTGACACCAAAGGGGCAAAGAGCCAGGTGCTATTTTGACTGCAGGGTGCGTTCCCAGCCACTGGAGCTACAGGGAGTCACCGAGTGACTTGCAAAATGAGTGGAAGCACCGCAAGGTTGATTTGAGCATAGCTGCCTGTTACGGCCACCACTTCTTACTACACGCAGCAGAACTTTCCACTCCTGCTGCGCTGGGCAGCCTCAGCTGTGCCACAGTAGCAGAGGGCTACAACTCCTGCCCTGTGGGCAGCATAAGGGGGAGTTTGGGGCCTTACCCATTAATCCCAACAGTGAGCTCAGCCATGACTGGTTCTACTGGTTTCTCTACTGGAGCCGGTTCCTCAACTTTCTCTGGTGCTTTCTCCGGAACGGACGGTTTTCGGGACTGGGAGACCTCAAGTCTGGAAGGAAAAGGAGGAATCAGAGCAGAGGCTGGGGCAGATGCCAGTATAAAGATAACAACAGACAGGCCTTTTTGCAAGGGAAAACCACAGCTCCTTTAGAGCAACTGGGAACACAGGATTTGCCCAACTACATCAGTCCAGTGGGTCCATCCAGACCAGTATCCCAGTTCCCACCATGGCCTGTCCGAATTTCATTAGAGGAAGGTGCAAGAAAGGCCCCCTTCGAGGGCAGTGATGGAATAGCCTGCCCATGGCAGGAAGTGTCTTCCTGACCTCCTTTAGAGGTTGAGGCTTATGCCCTGAAGTCTGAGGGTTTACATCCCTTCCAAAATCCTATTTTCAGAGGGTTTCTGAACTCTGGCTATTCTACGCCCTTTCTGAATCCCTCTCAGCTCTTGGTCAAAGTGACCTCTTGTGGCACTGAGTTGCGCAGGCCAGAAGCATGGAACAAAAACATCTGATCAGTTCTAAGTGTGCTGCCTGTCACTCCCCTTGTTCGCACAGGGGAGAAGGTGAATGGCAGCACCCAAAAGGGACAGTCCCAATCCTTTCATTTTCATTACCCATGTCATGGTCCCTCTATTTCTGCTCTAACCTTTGAGATCCGAGTGATCCAGTCAAAGGCACCTAACTAACAATGCTGCTACACAAACTGTTTTACAGTAGTGCCTTGGGCTGATCCAAAAACAGGGCCCCATTGTGCTATGCACCATAAGAGCAGCAATCTGTGTGCCCTGAAGGCCTTGGTTTCAACAAAATTCAACACACTAACACCATTTGCTTTCCAGGGGCTACTGCGTATTGAGCAGGAGTCTTGAGGCTTGTCCAGACAGGGGTAGTGGGTTCAGAATAATGTAGGGTGTGAATTTAAAGATCGGGAGCTATTCCAGAAATGTCCCCCCAGGGAGCCAATTCCAGAGTAGCTTCACAGAGAGATAATCCAGAATAGCTTCTGCAGAACAGCTCCTTGTCAGTTTCCCCCTGTTGATGAATCCACAATGAGGCACAGGACTATAAATAAAGTGACACTGTAGTCAAGATGCTGCCTCCTTTGTGTCTATCAGTCCCGGCTATCAGCCCTCCCCAGTAAGGTAAAGTTACACTAGTCAGCCTGCAGGTACAGCTAGGGAAACATGAGCTGGATTCTATGCGGACTCGTGCACCAGAGTTTTTAACAAAGCCCCACTGGAGGAGTCTGTTGCATTGGACAAGAAGACGCTTGCTTTACTCTGGGTATAGCTACACTGCAATCAGAGGTGTGACTGCAGCATGCGCAGGCCTACCTGATCTAGCTCGCGTGATGAACAGCAGCCGCAAAGCTGACGCAGCACAGACTAGCCACTCGAGTCCATACACAGGATCCCAGCTCACGCGGAGGTTTCACGGCTGTTATTTCAGCTAGTTAGATCAATGCTTAGGGCCCTACCAAATTCACAGCCATGAAAAACACGTCACGGACCATGAAATCTGGTCTTGTGTGCGTTTACCCTATACTATAGGGATTTCACGGGGAAGACCAGCGTGTCTAGAATTGGGGATCCTGACCCAAAATGGAGTTGTGGGGGGGGGGGGGGGGCACAGTATTGCCCCCCCTACTTCTGAGCTGCCTTCAGAGTTAGGCAGCTAGAGCAGTGGCTGTTGGCCAGGTGCCCAGATCTGAAGGCAGTGCCCTGCCAGCAGCAGCACAGAAGTAAGAGTGGCAATACCACACCAGGCCACCCTTACTTCAGTGCTGCTGCCTGCAGAGCTGGGCAGCCGGAGACTGGCGGTTGCTGACTGAGGGCCCAGCTCTACAGGGAGCAGCACTGAAATAAGGGTAGCACAAACCCCCCCTACAATAACCTTGTGGACCCCCCCCCAGCTCCTTTTTGGGGTCAGGATCCCTACAATTAGAACACTGACATTTCAGATTTAAATAGCTGAAATCATTAAATTTATGACTTTTAAATCCTATAATATGAAACTGACCAAAATGGACCGTGAATTTGGTAGGGCCCTATCAATGCTGTATGCACTACCGTCACACCTCTGAGTGCTGCGTAGACATGCCCAGATTGGGACAGAGACTGAGGCCCATGCTTCAAGGGCTTAGATGCTACCAGAATACATAGAATATCGTCTACCGAATAGCCCTGCAAATTTACCCTGGGAACTGATCTCCTGGGATCAAGTCGTTTGAGAGATTAAAGTGCAGATCTGCTCTGCGTTTTGAAGGTCACTATCTGCTCCTACCAAGGCTGATCAAATCTTAGTTTAAAAGGGAAGCTGCAGTTATTTGCTCATCACTACACGCAGCTATAAAGGAGAGCAAGTCCCCAGAAATATACAGTCTCATAAGGCCAGCGTAAGGCCCACATGTATTTAAGTTCCCACTAAGATTCACTTAAATCAGAGCTTACCTGAAAACTTTGACACTAACAGATGATCCAATTGACTCCTGGCTCAACGGAGAGTTACAACGCTGCAGCATTTTGCTGGCTGCCCTAGCTACTGACTGGAGATACTGAAAACAGCGAGTTCAAGACACTTTTTAAAACTGATCTTTAACGTAATCACTGGCTATACTGAGCTCTATGTTGCTATAACAGTTAGTGCGGGTCTCTTTCAGAGAAAGGACCCAGACAGTGAAGTCATTCTTACTTTCAGTTCCTTTGACCTTGGTTTAGTCCCATCATGGGGACACCAGCCCTGATCCTGCGCAGCACTTGGGCCCCCGTCTCCTGCAACGGCTACTCACGTGTTTATGTGCATGAAGCACATTCAGATGGAGCCTCCAGAGATGGGCTACTGGAGCTACATTCCATGATTTCAGGGGAGGCCTCTGTTTTGTCAGGGCAAAGTCAGCCCAGCAGAGGATTGCAGGCAGAGGCTAGGCAGGGGAAGGGCTTGTGGGTCGAGCACAGGCCTAGACCTAGGATGCCAACGTGACTAATTGACCCTGATCAAGTCAATTTCACCTCTAAGACAATTCAGGGCTCAAGTCCTTCCCATTGTTCCATGGCTTCAGGCAGGTTGGGGGGCATCCTTGAGGGAGGTCTCACCCCCTCCAACTGAGGAGAGGATTCTGTGGGGGGGCCCTTTCCATGGACCCCAACCCAATCCATGATGGGGTAGCAGCAATGAGTCCCCACCCCCTCCCAACACTGTGACTGGATGAGCCAGCTAGGACCTTCCCAGAGCAGGTTTCAGAGTTAATGCAACACAGAGATGCATGAGACATTACCCCTGCACCGCCACGCTATTGTTTCAGGCCCCCTGCAGACTCAGATGCCGCCATGTCAATTGCGCTAGGGGCATGCACTTTCATGACCCAGAGCAATGTAAGTGGAAGCTAATGCCCAGCAGCCAGGTGATTAGGCAGGCGTATCAGAATGAGGCCTCCTAAAGTAGTGGAAATACACAACACCCCAAGCCCCTGATCACATAAGTACTTTGCTAGGCGCATTTACATAGCCCTCTGCTTCCATCAGCTATAAATCCTTGTATGATGCTGCCATCCACCATCTTGCATCTGAATCCGCAGAATATAGCATCAACCAGAAGATTCCCAGAGGCCCCACTCCACGACATCAGTTACAAGGTCAAACGGCAAAGGTGAATCTGGCACGAGACCCCGCTGGGGTAGAAGAGAGCACTCCGCTTTGTGTTTACACTGAGCCCGAGCCTTTTGAGAGCCAAGAAATCCCTCTGGAGTCTGCCCCTCCAAAAAAAAAAAAACCCACCGAAGAGCAAGCGATTCATGTATCACAAGTCACTTCGTCTCAGGGACCAGTGCTTTTGGCAAGCAGTTTGAGTAGCGCTCATCCCCAACCCTCAGTTCGACAGCCTCTTTCATCCAGGCCGCCCTCAGATACAGAAGCAGTGTGACAAGGGTTAGTGCAAGGGAATGGAAATCAGGGTTCCCAGGTTCTGGTACCAGTTGGCATGACCTTGTCCAAGGTCACACCAGGTCTGTGCCTCAGTTTCCCTATCTGTACAAGAGTGGGTGAATTCCCCATTTTAACTGGACTCCAGGTTTTAACAGAGCTAACAGCATATGACTGAGTCATCCTGTTGCTTCAGCACTAGACAGTCTCAGACTCCCCCCAGATATCAATTAAGTCACATACCAAGAAACTAAGGCAGAAATCACTAGCACTGACTGAATACAGTCCAGACGCCCTGACCCCCACTACCTACCCAAACCACTAACGGCACTGTCTAGGCCTTGCATGCTGCCAACCCCTCTGCCCCACAAAAATCACAGTAGGGACTGGGGCCTGCAGAGCAAAGCTAAGCACCCAGAAATATTATAGGCAAGCCAGCTGATCGCCTTGTTTGGTTTCAAAAACTAGTCTGACAGCTAACCACAGATGCAGCAGATCAATGCAGGTAGGCAGAGGGTTTGGCCTGAGCCCTGATGCGGCGCTAATATCCAGCCACCACCAAAGAATTAAGCCAACCGTGGGTGCACTCAGAACTGCAGACCTCCGATTGCAAAGCTGGGGTGGGATTTATTGTAGAATTTGTTCCCCCCCCCCATCAGAATCCAGGAGGTTGTAAAATAAAATATTTAGGCAGCAGATGGCATTTCGCTTCAAGATGGCCAGCTCTGCAAGATGGACTCTGTAGCAGAGCACCGCGTGAGGATCAGCTCCCAACACCCCACTTGCATTTTGGGGGAAGCATCACTTCCATTAACAGCAGAGAGACCATGGCCAGCTCTTTCACGCCACAGCTACTAGTCCTGAAATCTAAGACCATATCTACACGATCACTTGTTTGGCAAAACGTATGTCGCTCAGGGGTGTGAAAAAACCACCCCTCTGAGCAACACGAGTGCTCATGCCAGTGAAACTTGGATGCACAGTGCTAGGTCGGTGGTTTTCATTTAAGTGGTTTTATTATGTCAACAGGAAAGCTCTCTCCTGTCAGCATAAAGCAGCTACACAAGCGATCTTACAGGGGCGCAGCTGCATCAGTACAGTTGTGCTGCTGTAAGTTCGCTAGTGTAGACATGGGCTAAGTGCGGCAGGAAGGGCCGCCTAAGATGGCTGCAGCTTTGAACCCAATGGCTGTGCTGCCCAAGGAAGAGAAGGTGCAGAGGACGTGCTGTTCTAGACACAAGAGGACTGGATCGCTCATTTCTGCAGCATCATTGCAAAGCTACGCTTGCCACACACAAGGAAGGTCTGCATTTTGGCATGACTCATGAGAACCCCTTCTGTATCCTTGCACACTCTGATCAGACATTTGTATTACCATAGCAACTAGGACTCCTCCTCATGGAGTAGGACCCCCTTGTGCTAGGTGTCCATCACCATGGCCCCTTTCACAGTTGCCCCAACTGAATGGGGGAATACGTAGCAATGCTTTAGGGCCTACGCACAAAGGAATACAAGGGATCTTAAAGTATCAGAGGGTAGCCGTGTTAGTCTGAATCTGTAAAAAGGAACAGAGGGTCCTGTGGCACCTTTAAGACTAACGGACTTCTGTTAGTCTTAAAGGTGCCACAGGACCCTCTGCTGCTTTTTAAGGGATCTTAAAGGCATACATCTGCACCAGCCCAGCTAAGGTTTTAACAGAACTAATGGCATACGACTGAGTCATCCTGTTGCTTCAGTACTCCACAGTCTCCGACTCCTCCGGATATCGATTCAAGATAAGCTGGCCGGTCTGTACTGGCCGCGGGGGGGAGTGGGGGGGTGGAAGGAAGATGTGGCTACTTCCACCCCACTGCAGGCACTCTACCGCAGTGACATTGAAAGGTCAGGACGCGGAACGCCAAAACCAGACGAGAACGCATTAGGCACACGCCACAGACACTGCCATCTTTGCTCAGGCACGGATACCCGGTGTCAAACCTCAGGGACTTTACAAGCATCATTTTATGAATGGAGAGCTGGGGAGATTAAATGACCTTGGAAGAGTCAATAGACTAGAACACAAGCCACCCAACGCCCTCTGCTTTCACCACTAGTCCCGCGTTGCCTCTGTAAGACAAGTGGCACTTGCCTTGGTACTTGTTCTGATCTCTAGGTTTCCTCAAGCACAAGAGCTGGTGTCTGCTTTCCCACGCCAGAGGACGCATCCAGTTCCACCTCTGGCAGACTTCCAGCAATCAAAGACAGGAAGTCTGCTCAGTTTAGATACTCACTCAGCACCACGGCCGAGGGTCACAAATATGCGCTATATGCACACCCCCTTTTTCTTCTGAAAGGAGGGGGCCAGAGAGAGAACAGCTTGCTGGCTGCAGATGCTGACAGAGGCAAGAGTGCCTCCCTGGACAGGAGCTATAAATGTACTTGGGTCTCAGGGGCCTGATGTACTGCTAGGTAATACAAGTGTAGATCTCAAAGTGCTTTACAGAAATTGCCTCAGTTTCCCCATCTGTGAAATGGAGGGTAAAGAGGGGAAGTGACTTGCCCAAAGTAGCAGGACCTAGTGGATAGAGCACACAACTCTCTCCCCACTGTCTACACTAGGTTGCAACAGATCAGCATTGTAACCGTCAGTCTTGAGCAGGATTACAGAGCTGCTTCTCGCCCTCCCACCAGTGGCTGATTTTAAGCTAGATGCCATACATGAATTAATAGGGAGAGACCACCTCTTCTGCAGAGGGGAGGGGCATGTGACATCGGTAGTGGTGCAATACAGCAGAGGCTGGGCAATAATATTGCAGTCTGTTCTCCAATGCAGGTGCAATTTTGTTGTGGGGAGCATGCCATCTCCTGCCTGTGCAACTGTTACCCCCACCTAGATCACATGGAGGGAGGGGAACAATATAATCTCACTGGAAGTATTACAGTTGGGAAGGAAGCAGTTTAAATCTCTCCAGGGTCAGGGGATTTTAGGCGTGCAACTGGAAGGACAAGCATGCTAGCAATAAAATGCTTCCCATATCAGAGGGGGCAGGGCACAGGAAGGGGAGCAGAGGGCCACCAGACGTGGAACAAGCAGCAAGGTAAATTCCCTGGAGGTGCTCTGGGCTGGGTTGGGGGGAGGGGTGTCCAGACAGCTCCAATCAGGCATATAAGAGAGGCTTGGAGGGATGAGGCCTCAAACAGGAGATGCAGCTGTGGCCCCAGGGTTTAGTCTATTTTGAGTGGATTCTATTTTAATTAAGCAGCACAGAACCCACTTGATCGGATCAGCAGGGAGACTCTGCCCATAGAAGATCTCCCACATGGGGAGGCGATGGGTGGTCCAAAGGAAGAGCAATGCATCTGCCCATCCCCCACAGAAGGACGGACATATTTCTTGCATGACTGCAGGGGGTAACCAGAAGGTAAATCCCGCTCCGCCGGGCCCTGCCCGGAGGGGGAGGGGAGGTGATGCTACCAGAGTCTGATTGGAGTTTCCCCTGATGTTGCCATGTTTCTAGAGAGATCCATGGTGCAAAGGCACCATCAGGTCACAGTCTGCATCATCACCCACCCCTCCCCTCCACTCCACTTTGCAGACATCACCCCCTCAAACTGCCCCAAACACATGGAACTGCTCCCCAAGCAGATCCCTGCACTCCCCTCCCCACCCCAGGGCACCCCGATTACCTCCACCTCAGAGCTGCATCTCTCCCTTACCAGACAGGGAACCCCCACCACCCCATTCCCCAATACACCCCTGGGCCCTCTCCCATTTACACTTCACCCTAGATGCTTGTTCCACTCCCATCCTACCCCTGGACACGACATCCCCTCCTCACAACTCCCTGCATATACATAGTGCCCCAAGCTATCCCCCCCCCAGCCTCCTCCCCATCTGCAGCATCCTCTACCCCCCAGCTCCCCACAGCTGCAGTCCCTGCCCCACAGCCCCTCCAGTTCTGCCACTACTAACCCCCCTCCCAACTCCTCCACATGCTGCCCCTCAGACCTCCCATTGGCCCCTCTCCACATCACCCCCCATCTAACCCCAGCTCCTCACCCCATGCAGCCACCAACTGCTCCAAATCCAGCCCCAAAGCCCTGCTGTTCACCACAGCCCCCTCCCCCCCCCCCCCCCCCCCACTCCCAGCCCCCCCCCACATCCATCCCCCCATGTCCAGCCCCTCCCCCACATCCAGCCCTCCCATCCTATATCCGGCCACCCCCATCCCATATCCATCCCCCCAAGTCCAGCCCCCCGTCTCTCATATCCATCCCCCCATCTCCCATATCCATCCCCCCCTCACATCCAGCCCCACAACCCATAGCCATCCTCCCATTCACACCCAGCCCCCCATGTCCAGCCCCTCCCCCACATCCAGCCCCCCCACACCATATCCGGCCACCCCATCCTATATCCATCCCCCACATCCAGCCCCTCCCCCACATCCAGCCCCACAACCCATAGCCATCCTCCCATTCACACTCAGCCCCCCAGGTCCATCCCTTGCCCCCCACCTTATATTCATCTCCCCCACCCCATGCCCCAAATCCATCCCCCCATATACATCCCCCCACCCCATAGCCAGCCCCCCGGAATCATCCCCTCCCCATCACCTGCTGCGCCCCGCACCACATACCAGGGGGTCTGGGGTCTGGATGGCGTCGAACGAAAGATGCAGCCACTCAAACGCCCGTTTATATACTCCCCCGCCCCTCCCCTGCCACGCCTCCCTCACCGCCAAGCCACGCCCCGCACTCGCTAGCGCGCGCTGTCCCCGCCCCGCCCTTCCCGACCAGCGCGCGCCTTAGTAACCGCACAGCGCGTGCAGGTCAAACCGTCGCGATGGAAAGCGGGCGGGGGGGGAGAAAAATCTGGTGGCCTCTACTGCGCAGGCGTCATGGCGTGGTCGCGAGGCGTGCTGGCGGTTACCAACCGCCGCGGCACGCGCCTCCTCCAGGATCAACCACCCCGCCCCCCCACTCCCGTTTTCGTGCGCATGTGCAGATCCTTCTGCCCTCAGCATCCTCCGGCTGCACACCTGCTCGCGAGGGTTTCTGGGGATTGTAGTTTTCCTGACTGCTCCCTGCCTGGTGTGAGCTGGACCCTGCAATGCACCCCTGGTGGGGGGAGGGCGGGAACCAGGACTCCTGGGTTCTGCCACTGCCTCCCTGGGTACTGGACAAAACACGCGAGGGGGCGGGGTATGGAAATGAATAGATAGATTAGATAGAGGGGATGTACAGGGATGGAAGATCGGGCAACACACTGATGAGGGGTATGGAACGGCTGCCGTATGAGGGGAGATTAATAAGACTGGGACTTTTCAGCTTGGAAAAGAGACGGCTAAGGGGAGATACGTTTGAGGTCTATAAAATCATGACTGGTGTAGAGAAAGTAGATAAGGAAGTGTTGTTTACTCCTTCCCATAACTCAAGAACTAGAGGTCACCAAATGAAATTAATAGGCAGCAGGTTTAAAACAAACAAAAGGAAGTATTTCTTCACCCAACACATAGTCAACCTGTGGAACTCCTTGCCAGAGGATGTTGTGAAGGCCAAGACTATAACAGGGTTCAGAAAAGAACTAGATAAGTTCCTGGAGGATAGGTCCATCAATAGCTAATAGCCAGAATGGGCAGGGATGGTGTCCTTAGCCTCTGTTTGCCAGAAGCTGGGAATGGGCGACAGGAGAGAGATCACTTGATGATTCCCTGTTCTGTTCATTCCCTCTGGGGCACCTGTCACTGGCCACTGTCAGAAGACAGGATACTGGGCTAGATAGACCTTTGGTCTGACCCAGTATGGTAGTTCTTATGATAGATAGATAGATAGATTAGATTAGATAGATGGGATACGGGTACAGATAGATAGATGGTGGGGTATGTATGGGGATAGATAGATTAGATGGATGATGGGTGTGTGTATGGGGATGGATAGATAGATAGACAGGTAGATAGAGGAGTGTGTATGGGGACAGATACATAAACAGATAGATGATGGGGTATGTGGGGATGGCTAGACAGATGGGTGTGTTTGGGGGAGGATAGACAGATGAGGGGAGGTGTATGGGGGAGGATAGACAGATGAGGGGTGTGTGAATGGGGGATGGATAGGCAGATGAGGGGATGTGTATGGGGGATGGATAACAGATGAGCGATGTGTGTGGGGATGGATAGACAGATGAGGGGTGTGTGAATGGGGGATGGATAGACAGATGGGGGGGTGAATGGGGGTGGATAGACAGAAGAGGGGATGTGTATGGGGGAGGATAACAGATGAGGGATATGTGTATGGGGGATGGATAGACAGATGAGCGATGTGTGAGGAGATGGATGGACAGATGAGGGGGGCTGATGTGGGTGATGCTGAAGGAGAGGGACAGCTGGGCATTGTAGCTGGGTCCCCGTGCCGGCTGGCTCCCTATTCCAATGCTGGAATTACTTGGAGGCCTCCCATCCCCCCAGCCAGGGGAGGGGGGGTGCGTGCGCGAGCCCGCTGCCCGCCTGACGTCAGCCGGAGAAATGAGCCAGCACAATTGAGCTGTTAATAATTCAGGCGACAGCGGGGGGGGGGGGAACAGCTGATGCTCTCGCCCACTGTGGCTGATGCCTTTGAAAAGGCCAGGCCTGGAGGAGAATCCCGCTGCCATGGCAACCCCCGGCCCATCACTCACACAGCATTGGCATCCCAATACGTCCGCCACAGCCCCCACCCAGTCCCCCTAAATGGGGGGGGGGGTTAACCCTCTATGGGCCAGAGGAATTGTGGGTCTATAGGAGGCTGGCCATGACTCAGCACAGATCACCCAACTCTAGCCTGGTGGTTAGGCCCAGCTAGGCCAGAAAGAAGGGCCAGGACCATGGGAGTCGGTATCCCCTGTGCCTCCTGTTTGAGGCATGATGAGGGGGAATCAGAATGAAAAAAACCAAGCCCCCAGGTCTTGTGACAATTAGGAGCCCAGACTCCTGAGTTCTATGTCTGAGAGGGGAGCAGGGTCCAGTGATTAGATCAGGGGACTGGGAATTAGGACTCCTGGGTTCTCTCCCCAGCTCTGGGAGGGGAATGGGATCGAGGTTTTTAGAAGGAGGTGCTGAGAGTCAGAACTCCTGGGTTCGGCAGTAGCTCTCCCCTCTGCCACATTGTTTGACCTGCAAGGCACAAATATTACCAACAAATCATCCCATAACCAGAAGTCCACAATGCTTTGTGAATGATGTTAGGGTTAGGGGAAGACCGCCATCTTTCACTGTGTGTTTGTGCAGCACCTGTCCTGGCACAGCAGGGCCCCGATCTCAGCTGGGGCAGAGACTGTCTCTCGCTGTGTCTGGGCAGCGCCCGGCACAATGGGGCCCGGATCTCAGTTGGACAAGCCTGGCACAGCCATTATGATCCTACATACATTTAACATCTCTGAGTTAGGGAAGAGCCCAACTGATACTTCAGGATCATTGCAGGACTAAAATGACGAGCCAATCAATGAGCAGAGCAAGAGAGAGGAACCAGCATCCAAATCAATAGCCCGCACTAATGCAAACTCCGGCATGGACTGCCAGCATGACCAGGTATCTGTCTGCCCTAGGGAAGTTACATCTCAGAGCCAGTGATCTGTCCCCCACTCAGGCCACCCATCCTTTGGTCCTGGATGTGGTCTTTGGAAATGCAGAACCCTTCCCAGATCATCCCCAGAGGTTGACACCGCCCCCCTCTGCATCTGAACGTAGCTTCACCGGAGCTTGCCTGGGTTATCTTGTCCCAGCTCTGACACTGCCTGCGTTTGCAGCTTTGGCTGCAGACAGGTCCGGGGGGGGGCCCCGGGTGGTGAAGAAGAGACTAAAAATAAATCGTCAGGCCTCACTGGAGAGAGAGGGAGAGACAGGGAGAGAAAGGGGAGGAAAAGAGAGAGAGAGAGTTGTGTTTGGCGATAGATAGATAGATAGATAGATAGATAGATAGATAGATAGATAGATAGAGGGGGGTATGGGGATAGATAGATAGATGTGTGTAGTGGGATAGTTTGCTTATTAGAATGTCATGTGGGACTGTCTCAAAAGCCTTACTAAAATCAAGATATATCAAGTCTACTGCTCCCCCTCAATCCACTAGACTATTTACCCTCTCAAGGGAGGAAATTAGTTTAGTTAGATTTGTTTTCTTCTTGACCAATCCGTGTTGGCTATTCCTTATAACCCTGTTATCCTTTAGGGGCTTACTAATTGATTGTTTAATCATTGCTCCTGGTATATCTTTGCAGGTATCAAAGTTAGACTGACTGGTCTATAATTCCCTGGGCTGAGGTTGTCTGTGGCTTGGATTGCCCACCATTGTGAGCCCTTGTCCCAGTTTGTTAGCTCTGCATCTGATCTTATGGGGGTGGGCTGTTATGGCTGGGAAAGGATTTCTCAGAAGCCCTGGGAGCCAGGACTCCTGGGTTCTATCCCTGGCCCAGGCCCTAGAAGGGGAGTGAGGTCTAGTGGGTTAGAGCAAAGGGGGCTGGGAGTCAGGGCTCCTGGGTTCTATCCCCAGCTCTGGGAGGGGTTAGAGCAGCAGGAGGGTTGGGAGTCAGGACTCCTGGGTTCTAGTTTTGTTTTTAGGACGATAGATGGACAGAGGAGATCAAATGGTCCATGGATAACAGACACAGAAGGAGGTGATAACGGAGAGAGGGAGATGGAAGATAGATATAAGGGTGTGTATGGGGATGGATGAATAGATAGAGGGGTGTTTTGAATGGGAATGTTTTGCATTATATATATTCACTGTAATGAATGTGTGTGCATCCCTGCTGCCCCCTGCTGGAACAGATGAACCCTGCTCTGTGTTTGTGTGTGTGTGTGTGTGTGGTCTTTGTGTGTTTGGTATTCTGTGTGTGTATGCATGTGCGCACATGCACATACACCTTCCCGCTCCTCTTTTGGCTAGAATCACAACTATTCCTGTGTGCCCATGTCCCCGCACTGCTAAAAGCCAGTGGAGAGTCCCGCCTCTCCTGCAGGCCGGGGCTCTGGCTGCAGTGGGCTGGGGAGCTCGAGATTAACTAGGGCATAAACTGCGTGTGTGTGTCCTGCCGTCTTGTCCTGGCTTGTTTGTGCAGCGACAGGTCACGCAGTGCTGCATGTGAGCGCACATACATCCCTCTGCTGGGCAGCCTGGGAATTTGCAAGCTGACGCACCTCAGGGATTCAGTGTGTTGTTTTACGGGCAGGCCAAGCTGTGCAAAGTGCTGCCAAAGCACAGGGAAAAGATAGCCCATCAGGGGCTCTGTCAGAGGCAGGGAGGCACCTGAGACGATGGGTCATATGCTGTGCTTGGGGCCCCATCTCCCGTGCCCGGTTGCCCTCCCCCCGTTACAGATCTGGTGCCGTATTGCTACATAGCGCAGGCTCTCATAGATTCATAGGTCCCAAGGCCACGAGGGACCATTGTGATCATCTACTCTGACGTCCTGTGTCACACAGACCAGAGACCTGCTCTGAACGAATTCCTGTTTGACCTAGAGCAGAGTTTTTCCAGAAATCCTGCTCTCCCAGCCTGCCGGGCAGCTGCACAGTCAGCGACTGACGATTTGCATCGCTTCCAGGTTCTGGCAAGGGGTCCCCCTCGCTTTTCGACAAGGCCTCATCTTGATCACTGGAGCAGAAAATGTTTATTAGCAGTACTAGAAGTACTAGTACAGCAGAACCCCGTTTATCCCATCGAACTGGGACTGAGACCA